TGGACCACACTTTTTCAACCCATACTCTCATTCCATTTTTGTCCATCAATCCTTCCTCATGAACATGTACAACTCCTCTTGGAATCACTTCTTTTGAAAATGTTTTCCTTTTGAAAATTAACATGGGTGGCAATTTGGTGCACAGCAAGACAACACAACTGTGTAATGGGTTTTCTCATGTCCAGAGATTTTCACGGTGATAGTTTTGGCACCTTTCAAATCAACAGTCCTATTAGATGGCACATCAAAGGTTAGCAGGACTTCATCCATATTCCCAATCTGGCCAATTTCAAACCCATTCTTCTTCCTAGCATCAATTACAAATTTCTGAAAGGACAGAATCTTAGATTTATATTCTTTTGGCATTTTTTGTGCAATTCTAGTTTAGGTGCGCATAGCAAGGCCACATCGCCTCATAAATCTGTAGCACCACGATGGTGATCCAGTAAAATCATGAATGCCTTTCTCTACAGCAATGCGTTTGGCTTCATGTATTATCATTTTTGTAGAGACTGAGAAGCCATTATTCTGGTGATGTGTGATCCATTCTTTCATGGCCACCTCTAACTGTGGCCACTTTGCAGAATTCCCACGAAACGTGTGCTTACTTTTATTCACTTTTTGCAGCTGATCCTCCTGTTTCCTCCACTCTTATCATTTTTTCAGTTGGAGGTGGCCCAAAATGTTTCTCCGCTGCTCTGTTTCCATGCTCCTTAGCATAGTTTACTACCTCTAGTTTAAAAGGAATCTTATATGCTAGTCTTTTCTGCTTTATCATCCTTGTATGTAGAATGGGGGAGGTTTTCTGCAAGAAAATACAGTGATGAAGGAACTGTCAGTAATGTACCAGAAAACCTCTGTGCAAAATGGTCAAATGATACGGTATACCATATCCATTCTGTACAAGGACTATACATGTACAAGGACTATACATTACAGCTGTATAGTAATATACGGTATGACATTTCCCAGTGACAATCTGTCGGCCAGATGATGACACACAGAACATTCCACATGACATTTATTACCGTACTCAGCAGACACATTTTATCTAGAATAATATGCCGTTACTATCTGCGCTGCTGAATCTCAAAAAAATGTAAGTGACAGCAGGCCATTTCATCTGAGAACACACTCCAGTTACTGGTAACTAGTGCTACTAATGAATTGGTTTGCATTTGCAGCCCAGTTGTGGTGGATTTCACATTCTGCATGGTGCCTACTAATAGATCTGATTTTCTTGCACTTGAGATCTCAACATGCAGAAGCACAGGCAATAGGTTAGAACTTCTCAAGCTCCAATATTGCAAAGGTCAACAGCTGTTTAGAGCTGCCAGTGCACTAAGCTGTAAAGTAATCCTAGCACAGCATTCATAATGAACAGCATTTGCTAGTCAACAGCATGTGAATATACGTTAATAAATAAAAGGAGCTTACTTGCAGAATGAGGCTGAATTACTTGGACCTGATCCTGCTTTCATGCAGATCAATGGGTGTTTTGCTTTCAGTCTGAATGGGTGGAGGGCCATTGTTCCCTCAGGGTCTAGTACTTGTGCCAACATCTTTTGTTTGGCCAATGATTTGCACCGATGCTGAAATATGTGTCATTTTTGCACCTGCAATTAATTGTCAGTGTCAAAGAGGCCTAGTCAAGACCCCTTAGTTTCTCCCCTCAGATCTTTAATTTGAATCATCATCATTTCTATCATGATGGAAATTTCCTGCTCAAACAATTGGACATACTGTTCCTTTCTGTTCCTCACGCTAGCATAACTATCAAGGTGATCGCCATTCAAACAGAACACGCAACATCCACTGCTGCTAGAGAAAGATACATTTGCCCACTAAGCTGATCCAAATTATATTGTGCACACAGAGCAGTGGTCACAGGGGAAACTGATTTAACAAGGAATAATTCCTCCCCTTGCCCGAAGTTACTGTTTTAACTACTGCCATTTGAAAACACACACCAAACTGTGATTAACAGCTCTCACCTGCGCCGGGGGGGGGGGGGGGGGGGGGGAGCCCCCCCGGCCGCGGGCCCGCGGGGGGGGGGGGGGGGGGGGGGGGCAGAGCAGCGCATGCCGAGCGCGTGCCAGCCAGGTGGTGCCATGTGGTGCAGGCCGGCAGCGTGCCGGCGATGGTCTTCCGGGTGGCGCGGCAGCAGCAGCAGCTCTTCCTGGGAGGTGGGGGTGAGCAGTCTCCGTCTCTCCGTGAGGCCAGTGGGTTAAAGGCCGCGGCTGCTCCTCCTCCGCACGCCTCCCCCTGAGCGGCACAGCTCTCACCTGCGCCGGAGGAGGGGGTGGAGCAGTGCAGGCCGAGCGCGTGCTGGCCAGGTGGTGCAGGCCGGCAACGTGCCAGCGATGGTCTTCCGGGTGGCGCAGCGGCGGCGGCAGCTCTTCCCAGGCGGTGGGGGTGAGCAGTCTCCATCTCTCCATGCAGCCGGCGGGTTAAAGGCCGCGGCTGCTCCTCCTCCGCACGCCTCCCCCTGAGCGGCACAGCTCTCACCTGCACCGGAGGAGGGGGGCGGAGCAGTCGGGCACACACACATTCGCTCTAGAAGACGCACAGACATTTCCCCTTACTTTTGAGGGGGGAAAAGTGTGTCTTATAGAGCGAAAAATACGGTATGTCACAGGAAAAAATGGCTGTTCTGGGGGCTGAAATGCCTTTCCTTAAGTTTCTGCTGAAAATTTAGTCAATGGTACAAAATTTGCATTGATTGCCCCATGCCATTTAGACATGTACATGTTAAAATACATTGTTCTTCTATTTTGATTGATTACCTAATGAAGCTTGCGGTGATACACTAAGGCAATCAACGTTTGGTCCATGTTCAAGTTCTTCTATAAATACAAAAAAATTAAGGTCAAAAAGTGCATTTTAGAAAGAGTTTTGAAAACTTATTTCTAGATGGAAGCCCATCCCTCATAGTCACAGGGCTTTCCACTTCCCCAGAGGCTTCTTTTCCCAACTTTTTTTAAAACCAGTATAAATTGTGCACATTGTTCTTATCAACCACTGCATTGCCAAGTTGGAACTGCAAGTTTTCACAGATTTAAACAGATTAAACATGTAAGTTTGGATGACCATGTACTGTATCCAACAGCTACTCATTCTGCTAAAATAAATGAATTTGGAAACTCATTTCCACTAATGCAAACAGGATTCTCCAACTTAAGTTACATTTGTGCAAGCATAATGGACAACCACTTATGCAATGGAAAGGGAAGAGATTTGTTAGTGCTATTTTGGGTTTGTAGAATAAAACTGGTGAATACTACCCTATGCATACTTTTATCAATGGATAAAGTGATGGCTGAAGCAAGCATTTTAGAAGTTATAGTGACAATAGCACTAAAATGTCCTATACAAAGCAATATAAACCAGGCCCTTTTAATGTATATCAGTTTTAAAATACAGCTGCCTAGTTTATTATCTATTGATATCTATTTATTATTATCTATTATATATCAACAATATATAAAAACTAAGAACAAAAAACCCCAATAGTACCTGGAAATGTTCAATTTTATATGCAATTTGCCAAAAGTTTTAGAACTGTAATTGACAGTGACAAATTATACCTTCTTTGCTTTCAGAATCATTTCCTGAAGCATTCTGTTTCAAATGAGTTTCATCCTGGTGTGCTGATTTCCACTCTGTGTTTGTAACCTGCAAAAACGAAAAACTATCATAATTAATACAGTGCATTTATATCCCACTTTTTTCAAGTCAACTTATAAGCATCATTTTATTCGCTCAGCTACAACTCTGTGAGGTAAGTTAGGCTGAGAGAGAGGCTGGCCCAAAGTCACCAAGTGTACTCACAGCTGAAAGGATCTTCCAGGTCACAGGTCAGCACAGTTACCTATTTGAACTAAATTCAAGGTAACTAAAGCCTGAACCTAGCTAAGACACTCACCTAATCTCCACAGTTATGTGGTTGTTTAATATGTTATTAGCTATATATATCAAATAACTATGATTTCATAATTTTCCTTTCTCACAATATTTTTTTCAAAAATAAAATGGCAAACACAATATCAGAATATTAGATTTCATTTACTAAAGGACTCAAACAGTTATACCATTACTTAGCTTTTTGCTACTTCTTAGACTTTACAACTTTATCTGGGTGATCAATATTAATATAATTTATGGTGCATTTGACCACAGAGTTATATTTTGAGTAAGTAACAACAAACAGTACTAATTGTTACACAACTTATAAAAAGTGACATTTCCATATTCAATAGCTGAAGCTCTCTGAAGTTCACAATATTATATATGTATATACATTATGTGTGTGTACATATACACATATACAGTATATCACAGAAGTGAGTACACCCCTCACATTTTGTAAATATTTTATTATATCTTTTCATGTGACAACCCTGAAGAAATGACACTTAGCTACAATGTAAAGTAGTGAGTATATAGCTTGTATAACAGTGTAAAATTGCTGTCCCCTCAAAATAACTCAACATACAGCCATTAATGTCTAAACTGCTGGCAACAAAAGTGAGTACACCTCTAAATGAAACTGTCCAAATTGGGCCCAAAGTGTCAATATTCTGTGTGGCCACCATTATTTTCCAGCACTGCCTTAACCCTCTTGGGCATGGAGTTCACCAGAGCTTCACAGGTTGCCACTGGAGTCCTCTTCCACTCCTCCATGACGACATCACGGAGCTGGTGGGTGTTAGAGACCTTGCGCTCCTCCACCTTCTGTTTCAGGATGCCCCACAGATGCTCGATAGGGTTTAGGTCTGGAGACATGCTTGGCCAGTCCATCACCTTTACCCTCAGCTTCTTTAGCAAGGCAGCAGTCGTCTTGGAGGTGTGTTTGGGGTCGTTATCATGTTGGAATACTGCCCTGCGGCCCAGTCTCCGAAGGGAGGGGATCATGCTCTGCTTCAGTATGTCACAGTACATGTTGGCATTCATGGTTCCCTCAATGAACTGGTTCCCTCAATGAACTGTAGCTCCCCAGTGCTGGCAGCACTCATGCAGCCCCAGACCATGACACTCCCACCACCATGCTGGACTATAGGCAAGACACACTTGTCTTTGTACTCCTCACCTGGTTGTCGCCACACACGCTTGACACCATCTGAACCAAATCAGTTTATCTTGGTCTCATCAGACCACAGGACATGGTTCCACTAATCCACGTCCTTAGTCTGCTTGTCCTCAGCAAACTGTTTGCGGGCTTTCTTGTGCATCATCTTTAGAAGAGGCTTCCTTCTGGGAAGAAAGAGGCAACCTTCTTCCATGCCACATACAGCAGCACAAACAAAGGTTGCTGCATGTGACATGGAAGAGGGATGCTGCTTGCACCGTGCTTGCATGGGGCTCCATTCCTGGCAAGCACCATGCAAACACTGAATATGCTTGCCAGGAACTCGGACTCACAGCTGCATCAAAGTGGACCAGAGTCCAGGGAGTCAAGTCCATGGAATCCAAAGGGTTCCTACCCCTAGAAGCGATTCCTCACACATTTCTAGACTGTACTACTCAAACAGTCACTACCCCATCATGCTGAAATGTGGTATGCAAGAAAAATATGGACCCTCGACCCTCTTAAGACTGAAGGTGGGTTTAGAACACACTCATGAACTGGCCACAACTTATGCGACTTTGCCACTTCAGAAGTATGACAGACCTAAGCAAAAATCAACTTATTCTATACCTGAGGAGAAACATGTGATGCAAAGAAGTCTTCTTCTTTTTCTTGAGGTGATAGAGGAGGGGCTCCACAGCCTTCTATCCACAGCTAGAACAAACACAACAAGTCATCTCAGGATGCTTTCTCAATAAAGCAACAAATTTTAGGTATTTGGGGAATCCCTAGACATGCAGAGATAATATCTGTAAATTAAAAGATGAAGTCAAAACAGCAGCCTGTGAGCCTGCAGGACCTACGGAAACTAGATATAAGAAAGTTAGAATCACTAATCTTAGTGTTTGAGAACCAGCCCAAATCCTGAACAGTGCTATATAACCCAGAAGGATAAAGTTCTAAGAGGTCAAGAAACCCCCAAAACCACTAGCTGGAGTCCTAAATACAAGCAAGACAGAGTACTCAGAGGAGGGCCTTCTCTGTGGTGGCACCCCAACTATGGAATGCGCTCCCCAGAGAGGTCCGCCTGGCGCCATCATTATATGTTTTTCAGTGCCAGGTCAAGACCTTTTTATTTAATCAATATTTTAGTATGTTTTAATGCTGAATTTGATTGTTGTATTTTATTAATTTACAGCCAGAGTGGATTGTCAATTTATCTAAGTTGTAAGCTGTCCAGAGACGCAAGTAATTGGAAGGCATACAAATTTTATAAATAAATAAATAAATAAAATTCTAACTGGGGAACACTGCATGGCTTCATTGTAAAACCCTAATTGAGTTGAGATCAAAAATATTTCACTATAGTCAAAATATAGAAATTCTTTTGTCCCTTGCTTATAGTGACTACTGAAGAGTAGTGAGTGCTTGACACACTTAAAGCATGTTATTACATGACAATAACATCCCACCCTTTTTCTTCTAGCAAGAAATCCAAGGCAGCTTACAAGGTTCTCATCCTCTCAATCTTATCCTCACAACAAACTTGGGAGGTATATTCAGTTGAATGGAAGCACCTGGCCCAGTGTTACCCAGTGAGCTTCATGGCAGAGTGGAGAGTAGCACACAAATCTCCCAAGTCCCCGGTCAAACACTCTAACCACTGGCTTTCCAAAAGAGCCATTTCATCTTTCCAGATTAACTGCATACAATATTTTAACATAGACACATCTGAATGCATTTGTTATATGCACATTTTATATACGTCAAATTGACTGGAAATATGACAGTAATCTAGACACAGAACAAAACAAAATTCATGAACAATGCAGAATGCAGATCACTTACATCAGTACCATGCTTCCGTGTTGCCTGTGCTGCAAGTGTTTTAATCTTTTCCCTGTAAAGTTGAGCAGCACGACTGCTGTATTTGGCATTGGTGTCATTTGTTGTGCAACCATATTGATGAAAAAACACAGACTACAAAAGAAACAGACAGCATGTGTGTTTAAAAACAGTAAGTGCATGAAAAAATGAAGATAAAGCTTGTGACAGACTGAGCTGACATCTCAATAAAACACTTTGCAACATTTATTTATTTATAACATTTTTATGCCGCACCCATCGCAGAAGCCTCAGGGCGGCTTACAAAGAGACTAAATAAACAAAGAATAGAATAACATTAAAAATTTGGAGTATCTCGGCCATAATTTAAAACCACTAAATAAAACAACTGATTAACAATTAAAATATTGTTTAAATAAAAAGGTCTTGGGCTGTCGCCGAAAAACAAGAAACAACGGCGCCAGGCAGACCTCTCTGGGGAGCGCATTCCATAGGTGGGGCGCCACTGAAAGAAGGCCCTCCTCCGAGTACTCTGTCTTACTTGTATTTAGGACTCCAGCTAGTGGTTTTGGGGGTTTCTTGACCTCTTAGAACTTTATCCTTCTGGGTTAACATGGTGGTTCAAACAGAGATCTGCTTCATCCATTCTTGCCTAATGCGTCTAAGTTTTCATTAGTCAGTCAGTCAAAGGCTCAATCCTTTAGAATCTACAACTCTCCACACACAGGAAATCGTAGGTTTTTCTCTCTAATCTTACATAAGATCGTGCCTTAAATCATTCAATTTGTACCTTGCTCTCTACTAGGAAGGTTGGAAGAAGCATTACTGCACCTATGAAATTAAGCTGACATCCGTCCAGGAGATAAACTTGATTATAAACAAAGAACAAAAAGTAAGATTCTCACAAAGCAAAATTCAGCATTCATGTTGGGGGTTGAACAGTGGGCTAGAAATAGCCATGCTACTATTTATTATTGATTTATTTATTAAAACATTTCTATGCCGCCCCATTCGCCGAAGCCTCGGGGCGGCTCACAACATAAAGTTAAAATACAAAAAAAAAAAACAAAAAAAAACATACTAGGTATGTTTTAGATCAATGTAAGACAGATTTCTGAAAACCAGGAAGAAAACTAATGATTTTAAGATATGAACTTACAGCATTAGCATTTCCTCCAACTTGCATACATCTCAGTTGAAACCATGACCAGTTAGAATCTAATTCTGTAGACCTACCCAAGGGAAAAAAAATCACATACACATGCCAAAAAAACCAAAATACACATAACTCTAGAATGAGAATAATTACATAAATAGCAGCTAAGGCTTTGGGTTAGGACAAACTCTACTGTTATCCCCATAGAACACACAAATCCCCTCTGGTTTTAAATTTTTTTTCATTGTCAAACAACATGGGAAGCAGGTAAAGCAGAAATGCAAGATACACATATTTTTTTTAAAAATAAAGTGACTATGGGTTTACCTCAATCTCTAAAATTGTTTCAGCATTCAAAATATAGTATGATTGCAAGCTTTCAAAATTTCATCTCATAGCTAGGACTGGCAGAGACAGCCTGTTAAGTATATGCTCAGTAGTAAACCACGGTTTCCATGAGGAAATGCCCTTAGGCATGGTTATGTATTTTTCCCCAAAATATTTTTATTTATTTATTACATTTATACTACCCAATAGCCAGAGCTTTTTGAAGGGTTCACAACCATTTAAAACATGTGATATAAAATGCAATATTAAATATTAAGTAGTTAAGATATAGTATCAAATACAAATGAGAACAATTGTATTAAAAAATTAAGCAGTAATTCATCTATTCCCAGCAGAATCCATCTGAATAGAAGCCCCTGGTTCTTCTCACGCATGTATCTCCTGCTTTCTTTCTCCACTGCAATGTTTAGTGCTTTCATTCTATATTATAGAACAATAGAACTATTCATTCTATAGTTTAGTGCTTTCATTCTATTTCATTTCATTCTAAGGCTATTTTCCTGTGTCTACCAGGCTATTGGAGATGCCTGCTCAGGATCAGAAGACAGCAGAGATTAAACCATTTCTGCAGCCTCCATAGCTCTGTGTTACAATAGGCTGCGGTTCCAATTGATGTTACTGCTCTTCCTGCTTTAGAACGAATCTCTTAAATTTAGCTATTATACCAGGTTAGAAGGAAAGTCTGTCACATTTAGGCACTAAAAGGGACATTAGTATGCAAGGTATTATATGTATGGCCAGGATGTCCCAGGGGAAAAAAAGCTTCACTGCACATAGGGCAGTGTTACAAAGTCAAATGGTATTTAAAGGTAGTCCTCCCAAGTTTCCCTGATTTTGCCTTGGCTTAGCATATGGCATTACTTGTAGAAACCCTTGTTCTTTCCCTTTCCCCCAAATCTTCCTGCACATACAGAGAATTAAGGGAAGGGATAGTTGGACTTTGAAAGAAGCTGAAGTAGTGGTAAAGCCCCCTGGTATTTGAAGGGCTGCTTGGCAATGTACATGACTTTTACCTGTACAGAAACAAGCTCGCTCGCTCTCTCTCTCGCGCGCTCTCTCTTCCCCTCCCCCACTCCTTTACTTAAATTATTTATAGGCCGGCCTTCAGGACTGCTACTTCTAGCTAACAATTCATACAAAAGAGGTTTTTAAAAAGAGCAGTAAGAATATGAAACAGATCAACTTAAAATCAGTTTCAAGGCTATCTAAATTTCAGTTTGAATAGAAAAGTGTCCTCTAAGAACAGAGGGCATCTTTACCTTTCCATCTGGGACCAAACTATAATATGAACGTTATAACTTGATTCTTATTTATTTAGTACAAGTACACAACAACACTCCATTCATTACTATGGACATGAGGCAGATGAGGTAGAGGCAGAATGTCATTTACTATCTCATTTACTTCAACATGGTTAGAAAAAATTCACACATATATTTAAACAAGAAAACATTCCAATTTAAAAAACTGCATACCAACTGCTTACCGAATAAAACTCAAGTGAACCCCAAGTGATCGATGAGTCCCTGAGCAGTCAATGCACAGGAAAACACCATACGTTATGCTTGCCCAGCTTGGGTTTTTTGCTCCACAGTCGAAACACATCTAGAAAACAACCACAGGTTGACTGTTAATATTTCTTTATTTAACCAACTTACGAGTTCTCATCTGACCTGGAGGATATCCTATGAACATGAACTAATTAGTATCAGAACTATTTGCCTGTAATTTGTTCAAAGGTAATATGACAGCAACATTGTAACTTCCTTCTTAAGAGGTTAGATCTAGACTAGGTCGGCTAAATTTAGGTCCCATTGAAACCAATCAATTAATTTATTAATTTATGATTGATAACTAAACTTCCCAATTAATTTCAATGAAATGCTAGTTTAGCTATTAGTCTGGACCCAGCTCAGGACATCTAAACATTCCATGTGTATATGCAAAAAAGCCTGTGCTAAAAACAGTACTAGCTGCTTCACTTTCGAAGCCCTGCTTCTTTGTATTGCCAGTCCCTTGGAACTAATCCTTGTAGATGAACAGGTGAAATGTTGGAATTTACCTCTGAAGCATATCCATTTTAAATTTTTAGGCAGTTGGGGTACTCAGAGTATTAATATTGAACATGTTCTCTGAAAGCATTAAGCACAACGATTCTAAAAGAACATAGAAAATCCTCTAAGCAATCCTGTTGGTCATACTGTGAAACAAAGCAGGGCAGTGCACATGGAAAGATAATAATACCGAAATAAAAATGAAGAAAATGTATTAACTCAAATAGTGGTATTTAAAGGTAGCAGCATTTTAAGCAAGCAAACCAACACTATGAACTGACTAGCTTGAATTTAACCTGGAACTTCACCTTGCCTCTAGTCCTACCAAACCTTTGGCCCTGCCCTGCTCCTGAGCATGACTTCACCTTGTTGAAATCAGACCCTCACTTGTACCTTGACTCCTGCCATGCTTTATGGGTATCTGACTTTGCCTCTGGCTCTACCATATCCCACCATGACCTACATCCATTTCCATCATCCCTGTCTCAGTGCTCCTAGAGTAGATGCCTGCTGCTTACATCCTGGCGCTGACACTGAGCATGTTAACTGAGGTGTGGTGTCTGCAGACCAACTAATTCTAAATTACTCTAACAGCTGAGCCAATGTCAGGGGGAAAGCAGGCAGTTAAAAAACCTGGATGGAAATTCTTTCATTTACCTGTTTCAGCCAATTTATGAGGTCAGAAAACTGTGTGAACAAGCCTAGAACACTGCAGATGTAATTCTATGTACACTGAAATGGGAGTGTGAATACTGAATACAGCAAGACTGCTCTGAAAAAAAAAGCTCACTTAATATCGCTGTGGTTTTATCACTGGACATCCAACTGAGTACATTAACTCATTTTTCCAGTTGCTTACAGTTTCTAGTATCTGCATTAAAATGATCCAGCATATATTTGACATCAGAGCCTCAACCACAATACATGTGTCAAGAGTGGAAAAAGACCCAAAGAGAGTTTGCTGGGCATGTACAATCAAAATAACATTTACAGTTTATTCAGACATACAAGAAAATGCATGGGCATGTAGGCAGTCCCCTAACGGACGGCCAAGTTGGAGTCTGTACAAGAAGCTTTATAACCCACCAGTTTCATAAAATTTGGCAGAGCAGTTGGGGAATGGGTGGGGATGACCTTTCAGGACAGGGAAATTAGCATGTCTAAGGTTCACCAGGGAAGCAAGACTTGCAATATAGATTCCTGAAGATCAGGAATCCCATCTCAAGTCTAAAAGTTGTTCTTACAGTATCAGGCTTTTATGGCAAAGCATTTGTTCATTTTGTCCAAACACATAAAAAATACAAACAGAATGTACCTTATTGAATGTTGGTTTAATTCACTCAACAATATGAGTATTGGAACACCTAATACTTCCTCCTTAAAACTTCTGTCTCCACATAGCCCATCAAAACTGTTCACCTGAAACACCCTTGGTCTTACAATCCAATGTTTTTGTGGACACAAAAAAAAATACAGTTAGATGTCATTAAATAGGTTTTTCTTCTATCTGCCTACATTATAACCCACTTCTCCTGCAGCTTTTAAAATTCATCATCTTAAAGATGGCTTCATTATCCTGGACACTTGTTTTAGTATAACTCTGCATAAGTTCATTAATCAACTTGAAATGATTCAGAAACATGCTTGATATAACTATACTCTTTTAAACATATTTGCATAGAATATGGTAGGACAGAGTTACTTACCTCTTTGTAACTGGGAAGTAACATAATGTCAGATTGTGCAAATGTGCACAAAAATACATGTAGGAAAACATTTCTGGGCATACTGAAAAAATAACTGTTTCTTTTTAAATGTCCACATAACTTGTTCTACCTACTCCGAAAGGTTACTATTCTGCAAGAACAAGATCAAAGCATGATTACAGTACAGCTAAACTCCTATGCCAACTCATCAGTGTTCACTCTAAAAATCAAGGGCTGCATTCCATGCTGTGTTTTAAAAACATATTAGCAACACTGATAAGCAGAACAGAACTTTGACCATGAAGAGTAAGAGCCAGTGTGGTGCAGTGGTTAAGAGCATGGGACTGGGACTCAGACGACCTGGGTTCTAGTCCCCGCTCAGCCATGGAGCCAACTGGGTGACTTTGGGCCAGTCACAGACTCTCAGCCCAACCTACCTCACAGGGTTGTTGTTGTGGGGATAAGATGGAGGAGGAGAATGATGTAAGCTGCCTTGAGCCCTTTGTAGGAAAAAGGCAGGATATAAATTGAAAAATAAATAAAATAAATAAAATAAAGATATCCTGGAGAAAGATAAAAAAAGGCATTGAGAATGTCCATGGAAACTGTTTTGTATGTTTGTTTGTTTGTTTATTTATTAGGGTATTTCTAACCTGTCCTTTACGGTTAGTCTCTGGATGGCTTACAATATAAAACACGTAATTTACAGGATTCTATATATTTTATAGAAGACTTATCTGTGCTAACAAAAAAGCTAAGGAACATTTTTGCTTTGAATTAAGAGACCTTGACATGTTTTATGGCTTACCGCAGCTACTAAAGGAAGAGTTAATTTGGGATGTCCAAAAGCCCCCATCCTCACACAACTGGGCATCCAATGCAAAGCAGGAGGTGCAATGACAATGATTTCTACTTCCTGATCTGCATTTCTGTTTAATTCCATCAAGCTGGGCAACCTTGAAGGGAGGGGAAGGAGACTACAACTACTTCAGTTTCCTCCTCTTTCCATCCTCTGAAACACCCTTTTACCTCCACCCTCAGGAAACCAACAAATTTAGATGCTCCAAGCAACACTCAGGATGGCTACTCACTTTTACATGAATTTACTTTATAGTCCTTAACCAAACACCACATTTCCTAGTGTGTTCAGCATGGATAACAAAGCTTTCTGATATCACAGTGAAAGGCATTAAGGATCTCAATCATACAGCTTCTCAATTGTTTGGAAGAGAGAGAGGATTATTTGGCATCCAAGGTCCTCCAATCATGGAGGCCCCACCCTCTCCCACCACAGCCTGCATGGAAAGAACCATACTGGCTGCTTCTCCAAGGGCAGAAATCCTCAGAGAGGGGTGAAGGGATATTCCGGAAGGCCAGGGAGGATAATGGGGCCAAGAGCTTACACCAGATCCAAGAACCCAATCCTCCTTCCCTTCCCCTCTGTGCCACTTTATCTAGATAGCAGAAAATGGTCATAGATGAAATGCAGGGCACAAGGTGCAACACATCAGAAACTGCTAGTACCATGCCTTGTGCCCTGTACTAGATACAAATAAGCTTCCATGTTCAGAGGCCACTGGACTGCACCCTGAGCATTCTAAACCTGAAAGACACTAGGCACAAGTCTCAGCTTTCAAGACTTCATGTTGGGTAGATCTGTTTTTAAAGTCTATGAATTCAAATATTTGAAGTAATAGTGGCTTAAGTACACTCAATGGCTATCTTTAAAAATAAACTCATCAAAATGCTTGGTATATTATAAACATATGGAAAATATCAGGTCACGCCTATCCCAGAGAACAATTTGTGCACAAGCAAAATAATTAACGTCTTTATCTCCTTCCTTTCCAAAAAGGTTTAATCAACAATTGTGGCTCATTAGATGAGCATATGGAAATATACAGCTTTTCTTAGGCTTATTCATTTGCCTTATATTTTGTTCTATTCTAAAAGGGAGGTTTTAGTGAAGATTTCTTCCCCAGCATATGGAGTGCCAATAGGTCAGACTGCTTGTAACCTAAACCAAACCATTCTGCAAACCAGGAGGAAAAAAGGCAGTTTTATTGTTTCCTAATAAACAAAAGGAAGGAAGGAAGGAAGGAAGGAAGGAAGGAAGGAAGGATCATCTATTATAACTGTAACTCCTCACCATATCTTGAGAATTTATGAAATTGATACATAATTGAAGTTGTAAACAGATTTAAAACTCCTATTTTCAGGACCAACCTGATATACAAATTTAGTATTCTTCAGTGTTCATAGCTACATTATCCAAATTAAGAAATTATTCTAAGGCAAATAAGACACTTAAAGCAGACTTTTATTTCACTTGGTACACCACATGTTCCATCACCCATCAGGCAAAAATTCTATTGAGTTCAATAGGTTTTGCATACAAGCAAATGTGCACAAGACTGCCATCCTATAAAGAAGCAGACATGCATTCTGGTACTAGGAGTGATTTCCATCTTCATCCTAAACCTGCACACTTACTTAGACTAACAAATTAGATTAAGTTTTCCATTACATCTGATGAAGATACACAATTATCTAGAAATGACACAGGAACAAATAAAAGAAAGGGAAAACCATACCGGTAACAATGAGAAAAGGTAGAAAATCCTCACCTGTAGAAATCCTCAGCAAAATCTATGCAATTTATAAACTATCAGCTTCCAAAAAGGTTTTAAAAATTAGAGTAGCAGCTCTATGCTATCTAAATAATAGCCTACAAATACAGTAATCTCATGGTATCTAACTGTTGCAATTTTTTTTAATAAAACGACTTTATTTTTATTTCAATTAAGCTTTCTATAAAGCATCATAATATATATCAAGGCAACATTTTTAAGCTATTACCAGTACTCTAAGCAAAAGCTGAACTATAATACATGCTCCACAGCTTATCCACCTGCTGTCCCTATATCTATTAGAGACAGCTTCAGTTTTCTGGTACATCTTCCAGAAAAACAAATGGGCCAATCCTGTGGGTTAAGAGGGATGTTAACTGCCTTTTTAAAAAGCTGCCTGTAAATACGTCTACTAAAGTTCTTAAGATTGCAGTCCTCTCCTCTCCCAACTAACCCTGTGTGGCAGAGAAAAGAGAATGCCTCTTAATCAGTACATATGTACACCAGTTGTTGAGGACCTTGGGCAGGCAGTGGTCTTGCAGCCATCCTACTTGAACGATCCTGTGGGCGGCTGCTTTGCCACCGTGTGTGCAGAGAGCTGAACCTTGGTCTGATCCAGCATGGCTGTTCTTACGCACTTCAGCAGAATGAGATCCTGCGAAATAAACCGCAGGACTTCAGTAGCGCATGAACGAGGCAGCGAGCTGGCGGGAGAAGAGTTTAGGGCACACGGCTTCTGACTCCAAGAGAATAAACGCTCCGGGCACACGGACGTACCCACCCCCCACTTTCGCCCCCGAAATGCAGCAAGTGTGCGGTGACAGCCTGCGCTGCCCGAAAATACACCGACCCGGACGGCCCAGCCCCGCCCCCCGAGGCAATGCAACGTGTCACTAGCAAAATTCGGCTCCTCCAGCGCGAAGAGAAAGGAGGAGGACGGCCCGCTGCCCCTTCCCCTCCCTTCACCTTGTTTGTCTGGACGGCGCGGAGCCGTCTGAAGATGGTGACGATGTCCTGCTTACTGGGCTCACACATCCTTCCCCTCCGGCCGCAGCTCCTCAGCAGAGACAAACAGCGGCACAGATAGCCGCGGCGACCGCCACCGCCTCAGCTTCACACAGGCGGACGGAGCGCAAACATACGCACACACGTAGCCGGGCTCATCCAATGAGACCGCCCAAGGAGGCGGAGCATCAGCGTGTCGCCAGCGCTGCCGGTTGGACAGAACGAGGGAACGAAACGGCTGATTTGGTAAAAGTGGACTAGGACAAGCGCTGCTGGGATTAGGGGCGGGGCTTTCCCTGAGGCTCGCGCGCCGGCTGGCCAGCCTCCTTTTAACGTTTCCAGGGCGATGGCAAGGACGGAGGCTGGAAGTGCGCCCTCCCGGAAGAGGCCCAGAGGCAGGCGGGGCTTCATGAAGAAAGGCCTGGAGAGGAAAGGAAGAGAGCAGGGCTAGGGTACAAGAGATAGGCCTGCTGAGAGCAGTTGCGCGCTTACTCAGAAGCAGGGCTGGGGCGGAGTTGGCACCCTATTGGGTAACAGACGCGAACGAACCGGCGTCCACGTCAGCCACCCAGGCTCATTCGCATCTCCCCTGCTCGCATCCATGAGTCACATCCGTCCATGACGACACCAGGCTTTTGGAGGTTGCGCAGGCAGCAGCCGCTAGTTGGACCTATTACTAAGCAAGCGAGGATGTATTTTTACCGTTTTTGAGATTCACGTTCGGTGACTGAGTTGTGAAAGTAATTTTTTTCCTATTTTTAAAAGTGCGATAAACGCACAGAACCCTTTGGTTTCAGAAGAGTGCGACTTTGCTTATCCTATACGAAAAAACATAGGGAAAAAAGAACAATCGTCCTGAAATTAAAAACAATTAAATCTTTTCCTCAAGGAAGACAGGAAGACCAATTGGATTATTAGGTGAGAGAGAGAGTTGCATCAAAAACAGTTGTTGGAAAACTTGAGGAACAGTTTTGTTACCGGACTGTGCCAGTCAACAGCTGGGGAAACCCGGGTGGACCTCAGACCCGAAGCCAAACAGAGCCTGAGACGAGACTTAGAGCCAAAACCAGCTTTATTCTAGTGCACTATAGAATAAAGGGAGACAAAAGGGGACATTCAGCCCAAAGCAGTGTCTCAAAAGTTGCACCCCAGTACATGCATTTTATACCCTAGGTAACCAAGTAGTTCACCTAATACACATCTAATACATCGATACATCAATGTATGTACCCCCTCCCGTGCTGGAGAAAGAGTCCTTTCTTCTGTCAAGGACCAGACATTTTCCATGTCTATTTCTTATCTGCTTGAGATTCACACAGGCTTGCCATGTTCTTACTCCCTGCACATTTGCAACTTTCATGGCGGCTAGAACCAGTTTCCACTGTCCCTTTGATTACTGTATTCGAGGTCAGGCTAGCGTGTTAGCTGTGGGTTGCACAAAGTTCATTTTGTTCTTATCTGCCCTCCCTTCTGGGACAGTATAACTGGTGTTTTTACTATGTGGCCTTCCTCTGGCCAACTACTTTTGGGATGCTGCAATTGGCAACAGTTTCCCCCCTTCAAAGGAATCTTCTTATTAAAAGACAGATTCCTCTTGATTAGGGAGATAGGTTACTAAGCCTTTACAGCTTTGCCTTGAACGTGCAGACTGCTGGTGCAGGTGAGGGCCATTTGAACAGAGAAACATAGAAGCATAGAAACAGAATGAGTCGGAAGGGGCCTCCTGGGTTATCCAGTCTGACCCCTGGCCCCAGCTGGCCCTGCTCATGACATGCCTACCATGTGCAAGTCTGAGAAACATTAGAATGAATAATTGTTGACAAACACTGTCAGCAACAGCAAGCAAAATGAGGAAAAGCATAAAAAAGCAAATATAAAGTTGCAAGTTTTTGTAGCCAGCCTCAGCTGGAGAACCAAAACAACAATCCTCTCAATCCACTTTTATCAGAATGAAGTTTAAAGCAGGTTGTAAAGCATTGAGCTTTTGAATGAGAATGCTTTAAACAAACAGTTTTGTCTTCTACAAGTGTTGCAAACCCTGTCCTGGCTTGCTAACAATGCAGTGTCTAGCAACTTTATATGGCAAGTTTCTACAGTTGAGCTAACTTTGTTGTGTGTCTGAAATGGCATCAGCTGTTTCACTAGAAACACAGAGAATGCAGAGGCTAGCACGCTAATGTCATGGTGATTTGAGAAACCCTCAACTGGTGGAAGAATGGCACAGAGAAATGAATAGGCTACCCCACATTGGCAGTGTCTTCCAACAATGTTTGAATTACCTCTCTGCAGTTGGGCAAGCGTCCTTGGGGACTTCTGTAGTAATTCAGAGATTGGGGACAAGGTATCCAGTGCCCTATCCTTCTGTAGGGAAAGCCATGAAAGCCTTCTGGCTACTAACCCATTAGGTCCCGAGGTGGTTTCCATGTTTAGAAGGCATACCTGTGTTGTGAAGCTGAGTCCAGAGATCCCCTGTAGAGGATTTCTCCTGTGGAGTTTTGTATTTGTCAATTATTTCCAATGTGGGCCATTGAGCTAGGCATATTTGCTGACTTCCATCTTTTGGCAGCACCAAGTTCTCTTGCACCCATAGTGTGCATTCCAGGCTGTACCAGTTGGCACTTACCAGCCCCATTTGTGTGAATAATGCATAGCAAGCAGCATCAACATGTAGTTGCCCATCCAGCTGCAGGCAGGACCTTTCCAGCTTAGCAAAGACTAAGCTACATGCTAGCCACCGCACCAAATTCTTCCTCACACACAGGGGCCTATTCCAGCTTGTGCCAATTGACTGTTGCTCTCTTGGGTGCTGTAGAGATGTTGCCAGTCCACCACCACCACCAAACTAGACCACTGTGCCTCAGTGGTCCTTGCCTGTAGTGGCCTCACATGGAGATTGTTTTTCCCAGGGACCTTTGGAATCCTTTTCAAGCTAAATATGAATTCTTTCTTTTTTTTACTCTCCTTTGGCTGATCTGGGATGGCAGTGCCCGCCCTTCGGCAATTTGCATGTCAGTTTTACCTGGTCTTTGGTTAGGATCTAGACATGTGACATTTCCAGGTGTAAGAAATCCATGCTGGGTTTTCACCAGTACTACTGAAGCAGAAGCATTCTATTGCACACTGAGCCAGTACTCTAAAACTGAAAACTTAGGAATGAGGAAGTCCACTGTTTTCTTTCCACAAGGACATATGGTGTAGAAGGGAGTAACAAAATTGACAGAAGTAAACAGACACAGCCAGAGTAGCGACTCCAAGAAATTCCCCTTCTTCCCTTCAGCATTATTATCTAGGCTCCTTAGCATTAGGCAATGCAAGTCTCTTTGTTTTCAATCTTCAAGCCGGGACCCGATCCTGGTCCCCGATAGGCTGCTTTTCTTCAGGGCTCTTCTCCCTTGCCCTCTCCAGTTGCAGACCCTTGGCTGACCCTGATGTCAGCTTCTTCTCGTCCTGGTCTGTTATGCCACTGGTTCTGCCTTGCAGGGTTGGTGTTTGAACAAGAACTTCAGGTCCTCCATAGGTTCCATGGTTCTTCGGTCTCCTTGTGGTTTTGGAACTTTCTTCAGCCTGGTGTAGTGTCCCTATGTAGGCACTCCCTCAGATCTCACTGCTGTGTAGTGAGGTGTATCTAGGCATGGTCCGTCCACTGCATCAATGATCTCCAGGCAGTCCAGTCTCAGGCAAGTCAGCTGATGTAAGCAGCTGATGCAAGTCAGCAGCCCCCCCCCCCTTCCCCTGTGCCATTGCAAGCCGCAGGCAGCAACCAGCCAGTGGCCGCAGCTTCACACACTGCAGTCAGCCAGCCAGGCACAGCCGGGCAGCCAGCATGGCTGCTCTGGCCTTGGAGAAGGAGTGATGCTGGCCAGCTAGCCAGTGTCACAGAAGGGTGGAGAGAGGTGCCTGCCAGGACTGGTGCTGGAGAGGACCAGCCCCACCCACCCCCTTCGCACCTCCATGCCAGGAGTTGCCCTGGTGCTGAGGAACAGCCATGTGTGCCCCAAGAAAGCACTGACTGCCAATTTTCCAAGCCTGCGTTTACAGCTTTGGGGGAATTTGACAAACTGCATCCTTCCTCTCCTGAGGCAGCTGGTATTCCCCCCGCCGTCTTGAAAGTCAGAAACCCCAAATACTGCACCTGTTCTTGCAAGGTTTGTGTCTTCTCCTCAGAGATCCAATGAAATCCAGCAGATGTGCACTGGTCTGTGGCCTCAGTGGCAATTAAAAGATTGTTCACATACTGCAGTAAAAACACCATTAGAGTCTCTAGTCCATTCAAACAAGTCCTTAGCCAGTGCTTGAGAAAGATGGGTGAATTCCCTCCTCCCCTGAGAGAGGGTGGTTCAACACAGCTGGCTCTTTGTTCCATCCTGGCATTCTCATTTGAAGGCAAAAAGAATTGGTTCTGTAGGAAGCACTCCATGGGCCCCTCAACTGAGCAGGTGGCCTGACGCCCTGTGTCCCCGTCATCAAGGATCCCTGTTGTGTCTGCCACACCAATTGGGACAGTCACAACTGAGCAGACTGCCCTAGTGTCCACCAAGAAATCCATGTCCTCATCTCCTGCCCTCATTCTCTCCCCTAGTTGCGGGGTGACGTGGAACTCTTCCTGTGAGTTTCCTATTCTTCCCCCAGAGCCCCCAAAGTGGCCACAACAGTTGAGGCTTTGTTCTGGGGGCAGTCCCTTTTCCATTGTTGTTCTGGTTTGCACATCACACAATTATTCCTTCCACACCTATGAAACTCCAATCTTGGCTGGCAGCGCTGGGACCTTCCATTACTCCCTGCCTTTCCCCATTCGTGCTGCAGCGCTGCCTTCATCGCCACTGCCATCAGATCCATTTGCAGGCTGTCTTTCGGTATATTTACTTTTTAACTATGCATCTTCTTAGCTGTTTCCAAAAACTGCACCTCACCCCCCCACCCCAACATTCTCAGGGAGTTGTACACAATGCTCAGTGCACAGGCACCCAAGTGCTTGGGGAACAAAACTTGACTGAACAAAACAAACAGAAAGAAGTGGAGGGATTTTAAAATAGCACACACACAGGCAAACACACACACAAAGAGGAAGAGGAAAGCGAATAGCAGTGCTGATTACAAACTGAGAGTTTAAACACCAAATCCCAAGTCCTTTGACCACCCCAGACCTCAAGCAATGAGACTGGCTGGTCTATGGCTTTCTCAAGAGTAGCTAATCGAGGCACAGATGGACAGAGTCCTCATGGCAAGCTGAGCTCTCTCTCAGCGGGAGCAACTTGCTACCTTGAGAACCTCCTCCTTTTTTCCCCTAAAGGTAGCCAGTTTGAAGGGCTGGTGATTCCAAACTGCAGCCATTTGGCTAGGATTCAACCACCCATTCATGCCCTCCTGGTAATGAAAGCTATCACTGCACCCAGGAATGGTGGCAGAATCCCCAGAGTTCCCCCCCACCCAAAGCCCATACGCACGCTGCGCTGCCGGCTTTTGGAGGGGAGTGAGTTCTACTCTCCCTCTTCTCTGTCCTCCCCAGTGGGGACCAGTCTGCACTTTTCCAGCAAGTTCAGACTGTCAGTGCAACAAACGATGGCGCAGAAGCTCGAGCTGTTAACAGGTATGTTGAAAGTAAAACTGCAACTGAAGAGTCTGAAAATTGTTAGACCCTCCAGCTGGCCACTCTGCCCCAATTGATGCTGGAGCCAGATAGAATTACAGTAGACGTTTAGTTTTTTTTCTTCGAGATGGAATCTCCTTTTGAACCTTTCCCAATTACCCAAATGGCAACCCATTTGGCATATGCATTTGTTTTGACTTACCCTGACCCATGATGCACTGAGCATTCCCCAAAAGACCTTTAGAAGGATTTCAGCAGACCTCTCTGATTTTCTTTCTGTCAATTCTGCCAGGCGTCCCTGGTCAAAAGTGCTCACGTACTTTGCGGGATCCGCTCACCCCGGACTCAAACCAGGGTAATACACCAAGAAGAGTTTCCAAAACTCCCCGCTTCCGCCCAAGGAGCTCCCAATTCTACTCGAACTCGCCTATTCCCATAGAGTTCAACTCAGCTCGGGAGTCACCGGCCGTCAGACAGGGAAGGGCAGCTTGCTGGCTTCTAACCAGCACCGGACTCTAACCGGAGGCCCTTTCTTTTCCCTCTTTTTGAACTGGGTCTTCTTCCTCCAAGCAGTTACCCTTTTTACCAGAGGCTTTTTCTTACCTGGGAACTCCTTGTCTTGTCGGGGTTGGCTCTCTCGTTTTCCTCTCAGCCTCCTTTTCCTCAAGCCCTGCTCACGGCTGGTAGAGGTTTCCGGCCAAATTTGCCTGAGCCCAAATGCTGAGGGAGAGCTCTCTAATGCCGGTCATCCACCCCTCGGAAAAGAGGTTCTTTAATCAATGAGAATGTTCTTCTGCACATTCTCATTGATAATGCAGAAGTGAATAAGGGCTAAGTAGCATTTAGGCACTAAGTGTATTTCCAGTTCTCTATCCCTATGTCAGATAACTGCTTTTATAAAGTTTTTGGGAATAATTTTTCACATCTCTGAAAAGCTGGAAAAGCTTTTACAGAATAGGGTAAAAGTATTTGCCACATGAAGTAATTAGTTGGGTGTGGAGAATTTGCCTCAATCCAGGCAGTTACATGAATCAGCTTCCACCTCCAGAAATGGCACTGCAGCCTTCCTTGCCTTGAGTTATACTTAACATCCACATGGAGTAAATGTATAGTTTTCTATTCTAGGTCTCATTGCTAGACTGCTGGAAGGACAATCACAATGCACCATTTGCATTTGATATTTTAATAAGGTTAAGGATTAATGTTTATCTAGTTCTTGTCTGGTTTTGTTTTAAAAGAGAGTAATTCTGAAACATCTGGGATGGAACAAAATTGATAGCCACACCAGTATTTGAGGTATGTGCACGTGAGGGTCTACAGAGAAAAATGAACATGTAAGCATAAGTTGAAATGCTTCACCAGATCAAAGTTCATATTTGCTTAGAGTCATGATGGCAGAGAAATAGTTAAGGCAGTCTTTTACAAATCATTTGTGAAGAAACTGTCATGGTTTGTATCTAGGTTCATTCAGTGTTTGCTTTTTCTTCTCAGCATATTCATGCCCAAACACAAATACATTTTATATTTGCACTTGCATAGTGTAAACATTTTATGAATTTGCATTTGGCCATTCTATAATTTAAGAATACATTTAGATTAAAGCATATTTCTGTGTTTCAGTCTTTTTGCAGATACAAAATGAGGTGGTAGAGGGTTTTTTTATCCCATGTTAGTGAAGGACATTTGTGCTGTTATTTGAACATACTACATAGAAACATAGAAACAGAGCAAGTCAGAAGGGGCCTTCCGGGCCATCTAGTCTGACCTCCAGCACCAGCTGGCTCTGCTCACGACATGCCCACCATGTGCATGTCCAGCCTATCTTTGAACAACCTCACTGATGGGGCCTCAACGACCTCTCATGGAAGCCCATTCCACACCCTCGAACATTACAAATATTCTTTGTCATTATGTATCTATCAGACTGAAAAATTCTAGTTATTTTGTAAGGTGCAGCAAGAGCAAATACTACAAGAAAAAGAAATATAGAACAACATGGGCAGGAAAGTTGTGTTCAGTAATGTTTTATTATTTTTAAAATAGTGTTGCATACAGAAAAAAATATTCCAGGATCTTATTCCTGACCATTTGTGACAGACCTTAAATTTCTATACAATTACCCTGAAATATCATCATGACAGAGATTCAGTACTCAACATTATACAATAGAACTTCAGGTGTTAATAAATACCCCAATCTCCAATTGGAATAACCAGGGAGCATTACAGTATTTTAATTACCAAAATGTTATTTCAATTACAGTGTAGCTTCCTAATCTACTTACCTGATAAGGATTTTGATTTTCTATAAAGCAACTTGTTCTAACATGTTCACAATCCAGCAATGTATACTTCTTGCAGTTGTATAGAAATTGACACTTTTACAGCTGATTCGCAGTTGCAAACAAGTAGAAGGTTTTACAGTGTTCTGCTACAATAAACTATGGTGGGGCTAATGCTAGTTTGCATTTGGTTCCACAATTTTACTGTAAATTTTAGGATGCAACTACTGTGTTCACCTTAAGCGAGAATCCAGATCACAGAGTACTTACGCATCACTCCAATGTGCTACAGCTGCAGAGTCTGCAGAAGGAGCTCAACAGCACATGAAAAAGCCTGGTTCTATCCCCACTCTAGCACACATTCAGTGTACTAAACCATTACAGGAAGTAATAGGTAGCCTTGTACATGAGTCCAAAATCCCCCTCCAATGCACCACTCAAAGAAAGTTAGATCAAATTTGCAGTCCTTGACCATGAAGATTCAGGAGGAGCTGATTAGGATGTGCAAGGTGTCCCACACCATGCCAGGACTTGATACTGAAAGAGTAGGGAAACTGGACAGTTAAGCCTGTGAGGACTCCTCTGTTTGCTACACCCAGATTACACTGCAGAATGCATTGAGCAGCTGATCTACTTTGCATCTAAACAAGTATGGAATAACAAAGCAAATCTAAATGTGTCTATAATTTAAATTGCTTAGCTTATTCTAAAGCTTCAATCCACCTCCCATTGAAGTCGACAGCAAATTCACACTGATTTACTGGTGCTAGACTCTATCCAAAATATGCATAGACAACAGGCTTGCTAATTAAGACATGCTCTTTAAATTTCTGAATATCAACTTATATATACATATAAACAACCTAAAGAGCATATCAATAAAAAAGCATTCATCTATTTTACATTGAAAAAATAATCTTCATATATGCTTAACTTTCCAAATCACTCAAAATCATTAACAACTTGCAAAATTTAAGTTTCTCAGCAAGAATACGGTGGAAATAGGTTTAAATATTCCATTTTTAAAAAATCTACCTGAAGTCATCATTCAGGAAAGTCATATTTCAGGTTTCAAAACCATCAACTGAATTCTAAAGAGAAACCCAAACTTTAATATTTGCAGACAATTCTGCTACAATATTCTGTAAGAGACATAATATGGCCTTTTATATCACTGAGCCATGCTGAGAACATGAAAAAGCTGACAGTACACTCTGGACTGGGAATACATACAAGTCATAATTTAAGTAGTAGTTGATAAACTAGACATGAAAATAGCTGATTAGACATTCTTTAAATAAAAATGCATCTTCCAAATATTGCTAAGAACATATACAAAATTGCAGTTTTTTTTTTTAAAAATCAAGTTGCAAATTACTCAAGGTCACTTAAAATAACTGATCAAAGAAGAGCTAACATAAGCCACCACCCAGAATACTGGGAATGACACATTAATTTAGCAAATTCTGAAATAATATACGGATGTCATGATAAAATACTAAGTTGTCAATATATACTAAAAGGATCATTTTCTTGCTGTACTACATTGTAAATTCTGTTCTGGTTGTTTTGTCTTGCTTGTTGGGTGCCTACCTTTTCCCAGTTCCAGTCTGAACAGTTAGATGATTTCCCAGGCACAAAATATCAATCCATCAATTGCATTAAAAGAAATATATATACATTACAGTTCCCCTCACTGTGAGCCACAAGCTTCATACTGGCTGACACTTTCAGAATTATCTGTCACTGGATTGGTTCTACATAGTTTGCTGGATAGAGGCCAACTTGTCCATTGTCCAGGCGACCTTTACACCAACCTTGTTCATCTTCATCTTCAATTTTAGTCAATTCTTCTCCTGGGTGGGGGGAGGGGGGAGAAGTAATCCAACAGTCTGTAAATAGTTATCTCTAGAAATGTAATCTCTGAGTTATGTTTTGTGTCAACAATTACACATCGATATGCATCAAATGTTAGAAAATGCATTTTATTGCAGTTTTTGCTGTGCCCTCATACAAATGAGGTAACCAAATAAGCTACTAAAGAACCAAATTGACTAAGAGTGCAATCCTATGGCTGCTAAACACTGTCTAGACAGCCATAGGTTTTGTCAGAATCCCAGCTCTAACTTTAAAAATGTGTTCCCAGGTCGGTGCTGTGATTCCAATTGCAGAGCACCCTCCCACATAGCTGCTGTGATTCTTTCCATCACATTATCCCAGGCTAATGTGTTTAAAAGTTTACAGTGTTTAAAAGTGATAGGCACTGGAGTCCAGCTTGGATTCTGATAAAAAGGGAAATAATTGTGCTATGCATTCCTTTGTCTCCATTCTGAGCCAATGTGCAGGTTTGCACATCTCAATGTCTCACACTGCAAATGAGCTACACAGGCAGGATGTTTGTGCAACAATTTACTCATGGTATGCCTGCCAGAGAGTTGGGCTCACTGTGAGCTTTCTTCCAACTTTCCCACTCAGTCCTCCCTAGGATATCTAAGGGGACTTGTTTTGTCTGCTCTCCCTGTTGTGATTGCAAGCTCTTTTGTGCTTACCATGGCATTTTATCCCTTTGTAATTTTGGAGATTGAGTTTTGTTGCAAAAGTGGGTTAAGTATGAACTATTAAGGGCTTTTTTACACAGACATATCTAGACATGAATGTATATGCCCCTGTCCAAGAAAAAGTCAAAAGCCTTTTTTAAAAAGAACCATAGTTTTGACAACTAGCTGTCAAAGTTCCATGTTCTCATGAAAGAGGTGGCTTGCATTTTTCTAATTTCCTGAACATTTAGCATCTTAGTAAAAGGGAAGGGTCTAACAGGGCCTTGAAAAAACCTATAGGCACTTTTGTAGAACACCCAGAAAGCTTTGTTATTGGATGATACAGAAATGATATTAATATTGATAATCATCTCGCTGTGAAAAGGATGATCTATTGCCCATCTGCTTTCCTGAGCAAATATAATTTGCAGGTTTGGTCTCTTTGACAACTGCCAAGAGAAAGCAAAGTGAATGTGCCCTTTGCAGATTCTCTGAGTTAATATCCATGGCGGGTGACCACTGGTTTTCCATTCTGGATCTGTGGAAGTACCCACCTTTGGAAGTTTGACTAAAACTAGTAATCTAAAAGTGATAAGTGGCTGGAGAGCAGCACTTGTGAAAGGGACCTCAGGGTACTGGTTGACTGCAGGCTAAACATGAGTCAGCAGTGTGATGCGGTGGTCAAGAGGGCGAACGCCACCCTTGATTGCATAGCCAGAAGTGTGGCTTCTAGATTGAGAGAAGTATTACTACCACTCTACACGACTCTAGTGCGCCCGCAAC